ATATCTTCCTGCAATTATTTGGATAATGTTTTGGAATGTAAATTACTAAATTATGATTTCTATATTGTAATTGGCATTGATATGGAGGATTATATGCACCGGTATGGGACGGTGGCATACTAGGGATGGTTTAGCTTCAAAACGCTAAGACCTAACCTAATGGATTAATGGAATGGATTGTAAGATATCGAATCCTAATTGTGACTAAGTCAGGTCAGCTGTAACCAAGTTGGATGACTTCCTAGATCAACGGATGGTAGTTAAGCCATATCAACTGAATAAGTTGAGTGACTAACTAGTTGGTTTATTGTAAGTCAGTTTAATAAATAGTTGAACTGCTTACCCTGGATTTGGACGGACTTTATATATGTGTTTATGGTACCACGAGTTGAGCTTGAGTCTCAGACTCGTTGGTTAGGGTGCGTATATACAGTGGATGCGTAGCTGGTTATAATAGGTTGAGGTGTACCCTGTTAGGTCTAGGTACTCATGCCCACCTTTGGGTGCGTATTCGCATGTTGCCTTCTATTCAAGTTGAGACCCCTATTATAGACTAGCGAATGTCCCTTAGTGTGGATATATTTATACGTATGGACTAGATAGATATTGTGAGGTGTCTACGGTGTATCTGCGTATCGGGTCACTGTATGGATTGCAGTTAGATTAGAACTTGCTCGTGGGTCTGACCCACTCCTTTATTATTCTTTTCAGGTACAGGACGGTTCTAGCCTTAGAGCTTGATCGTGCTTGTCGAGGACAGTCTCACTTTTATCGGATTACGTAGGACTTCCCCCGATGTTTCTAGTATTATCTATTTTCAGTTTCAGTTTCAGTTGAATTTTTAGTTAGGGGTCCATCAGTGGATTCCCAAGTTGTAACTTTGAAGTTTTGGAGGATTGGAGTTTTAAATTTTCAGTTACACATGTAGAATTTTACTATTATTATTTCTTTCAGTTTTATTCTATCTTTATTGGTTTTGTCATCTGTGATCGTTTTAAAATACTTTAGTTGTTTGATATTTCTTCGGGTTTGGGCCTGGGCCTGATCAACCCGTGTCTCGGATCCGAGGGGTATCACAACCTATGACATTGTTGTCAGAGTTTTAGGATTAGCTACCCCAACTCTCACACGATGCCTGGTTTCCGTAGTGCATTTGGTGATGATCTTTTCCCGACATTAATGTCATTTGTATCGAGAGGTTTCATGGGTAGACCTAGTGGGAGGCAAGTCATGAATTAGTACCTAGTACTGTCATGTTACCTTACTGACGAGTAAGTGTGGGCGGGTTATGGTCGCTATTCGTACTGCCACATTGTCTTTGTTGTGTACCCTGATTTGATACGTGGTTATCTTGGAGTTCTTTTGGTGGTTGTTTTTGGATCGGTATGATGGTTCATCAGGAGAAATGCTTATGGTTGTTGTCATCCGTTCCTTTGTCCAACCTTGGGTTCTTTGTACGTGACTTTTGACTAATCGTGTGACCGTGTAGTCAATTTCCTTTTGAGAGGTTGTCCTATCGTAAGCACGTGGGTGCGAATGACATTGGTTTGTACGTTGTCTTTCAGCTTTGGGATTGTTTTTGTAGCACGTTGTGTGGGGTACTCGAAGATGTACTCCGTAGTTATCCCGGTTTCACCTTTAGTTTCTTAGGGCTGGATTTCGGGGACGAAATCCCTTTAAGGTGGGAAGGTTATAATGACCAGGTCATTTTCATTTCTTTCCCTTTATTCAAATTTTGCAGATAAATTTTTTTCATTCTCTTTTCCTTTTCGGGTTCGATTTCCCGCCTCTTAGTGTCGTCTCGAGTGCTCGAAAATGGTTTCTGAGACTCTTTCCTTTGGATTGACAACTTCTTTTGAGGACCGAGTCATTTCCACATTTTTTGTTTTTTTGACATTATTCATTTTTTCGTCTTTTCCCTTTTTCGTCCTTTAGTCGTTTTTCATTTTTCCTTATTTAACCTCACTTTTTGTACTCGGATTTGATTCCGGCTTGGCATACGTCCATGATATTTAAATTCCATGACATTTACATTTTTACTTTGGTAGAAATGCATATTAAATGCATACTTTCCTTGTAAAAGTCATGAAAAACATGACTTTTTGTAATTATCCATAACTTGAGGGGTTTTTGGGTAATTAAAGTAATTATTTTTTGTCTTAGGGATCATTTTGCAAATTAAATTGGAAGATATTTTCAAAAATGACCTTTTTGCAATTTCTGAAGAATGTGACAAGTGTCACATTCCTATGGTGCCACTTGTTGATTTTGTGGTGAAACCACTTGAAGACTTAATCTCATGACACATGAAGGGTGGAGATTCACCCACTTGTTGCCCTAGGATTGATGCACTTGTTGGCATGGATGGTTGACAAGTGTAGGGTTAATTTTTAATCTTGGAAGCTTACTTGGATTCATGACAAGTGTAGGACTCACCTTTAGTCTTACATTAGTGTGTGTGTGTGAGGTAGTGCAAGAGCACCTAGTGAGTGGAGAAGCCCATCAATTTAGCTTAGGGTTTACACATTTTAATTCATTCATCACTTTCCTCTCAAGAATCCTAAGGAAGCCACCATTGGAGAAAAGCTTGAATAGTAGTTTTGACTTCATTTTTTGTGCCCTTTCACTCACCTTAGAACTTTGAACTTGGAATACTTTTTATTCCCCTCATCCTTCTCTTCAAAACCCTTGAAGGATATAGCCTAACTCCTAGTTTTGCTTTGGTATTTAGAGATTCAATTCTCTAGTGAGGTATTGATCTATTATTTTAAAGTATTTTTATGTCATTATTGAGTGTTTTACATGCATGGAAGAGAAGGACTTGTATTTTGCCCTTAAACTGTTTTAACTTGAAATTAATCTTGTCAAATTAAATATAGAATATGTTTTTCCTTATTGAATATATTGTTGCTATGTGTAAGGAATTGCACACTTTGTATTTGACATCTTACATGCCATAATATTTGTGAATTTTGAGCAGGTATTGTATAAGTTTCCAAAATTTGGATTGTGCTTGGTAAATAGTTGATATCTTGTATATACATGTTGATATATATACGTTGTTGCACAATTTGTTGATTTTGGAAACTTGGGGATGTCGTTGTTTGGCTACGGCTAGGACTTGTTTCTAGTACGGGGGATTGTCCCTCTATACAGTCTAGTGCGCACATAGGGAGGTTACCCATGGGTTAGTAACCCTAAAGTAACTATGTTGTCGGTCTGATCTGGCGTGACGTCCGAGTATCCACTTTGTTTGATTTTGTATTTCATTTCAAGTTAATAACTAGATGATATCGTAACTTGTTGTTCCTTATTTGATTTCCTATTTTGAGCTTAAGATGTAGCTTTGTGAAAGCATACTTCATGCATTGTATTGGAAGTTCCATTGTTGGTTAACTTGCATCGATATCATAATTTGTGTTTTGATGTTCAAATGTAGTTTAAGAATGACCTTATAGATTCATTTTGAACATAGATGTTAGGTGGCATGACCCACATTTGTTGTTTTCGTATTTTGGATTTCAAGTTGAAGACTTTGAGAATCTATATCTTATTACCTTGTATAACATGTTTCTATGTTGTTTGAATTGTATGAACAATGTGATTATGATAGAAATGATCTAGGTAGCTTAGGATGCTCCCTAGGTCTCATCTTGACAAAGACGTTAGGTGGCATGAGCCTCTTTAATATGTTTCACCATAAGGTGATAAAATTGTAAAATGTTAGGTCGATGCATGCTCATCTCCTACTAATAGCTTTATGTTACTCACCCCTACGATACTGGGGCATATTTCAGGTACAGGACTTAGGATTTGAAGATTCCATTGCTCCTTGGATGGCTTACAGTTTCTAAGTTTCTATTTTATGCAAGTGTTAGCATAAGATGCCTCTTTGTAGCCTTATTTGTTTAAACTTGTATTCGTTGATTCGTATATGTAGAGTGTACGTAAGTGCACTCTTTTCAACGTATTTAACATGTATGAGATGAGGTCGGAGGCCAATGACATGTATCTCATTTTCTATGCACTTTTGTTTTCAAAGTTTATTATGAAAATATTGGAAAATGTTAAGTCATTGCTTCATAACTTTCGCATCGGGTGTTGGAATTTCATATCTTTTCTGCCCGGACTCAGAATCAGACGATTCTTGAGTTTAATTTTGTTCATTTTTCGTTGTCCTTCCAATGGTGTGCACGGTGGCTCCCTTTTCAGTGAGAAATGACCATTTTGCCCTTAGTTCATCTTTTTTCGGGTCAGGCATTCTTGCTACATTTGCTTGGCTCATTTGAGTTCCGTGGCTTTATAGAGAGTCATTTTGGGGCCTTAGGGATGATGTACATCTCTTGAGGTCATTTGGCTTCTTTCGCTTCTGCATTTCGGGTTCGTTATCGGGTCAACTTCCGGTTCATCACTAATGCACCGGGTTGAGAAATCTGGGTCGTTACAGAAACGGTGTCGTACCAAGCCGCGGCGAATTTCAACCTCAACAATTTTCATGGAATTCTTTTCACAAGCAAGGCAATTTAGGCATGTAAATCATGTAACCATATAATCATCACATATCCCCGCCATAATTCACATAAGCATGCAATATAATACATTAAAGGCACATAGAGTATGTATATCATTAACCATAAATTGCAACTTAAATTATCATGCTTCACTGTAATGTTTCTCAATTTTTTTTTATTTTTTAATTTTTCAAATTTTTTTTTCTCACCTTATTTTAAGTGACACACCGGTTAACGTATTAGGACTCTTAAAAATATATTATATACTACAATAATTCAGGCATTCACCAGCGTTCTCTTTATGACCGGCGTGCATGAAAAGAACTACTACCTTTGTCCCAAAAATAGTATCATGTTTCGAAAATCATGTTAGTTCAATTTGTAATAGTTACAGCTCTTTAAAAGTGACACTTTTGTGAGATGGAGGGAATATTTTTTTGTTGAAAAATTTGGTGCTAATATTATTTCACTTTACTACTGTTTCTAACTTTACCAATTTGCTGACTTCTCATCTAACTTTACCATTTTACTCATCTGAAAAAAAGCCCTATCTGTATATCCTCACCCGTCTCTCCTCCGCTCCGTCTCGATCTCTCACTGCTCAATCTCCATTTCTCAGCTGAAGCCCTTGATTGATGTTTGCTAACCCGTCTCTCTTTCGGTATTATCTCATCTGAGATTACAAAGTTGAAGCCCTAGGTTTCTCTTCAGGCCGTCTCTCCTCTGTCTCAATCTCTCACCAGTTACTCGATCTCCAAGAGCTGTTAATGTATGTCATTTCGAGATCTTACTCACTAGCTTTTCCTCCCAAAACGTTCTCGCTGAAGCCTCTCTCAGGTACCTCTCTGTTTCATTTTAATTTCTTCGTGGTTTCGTTGTTTTATTTCTCACTGATCATTCATTTTACACAATTCTAGGGTTAGTCGTGCTTGTTTTTTATTCAGTAGACCCATAGAATGATGGGTCTGTTTTAGTTTTACTGCATCTGTTGGATTCTCAGATGATTGAATTTTATTGTGGTTCATCAAATTAGGGTTTTTTAAAATTTTCATGTCAGTAGTAAACAATATGATTGTTCAAGATTATTAAAGTTCATTCATTTAGAATTAATGGGTTTCATCAGTTCAGTTCAGTGATTTTTATAGTTGAATTTTGAGTCTTTAGTGTTTTAATATAAGAATGTAGTCATTTTTGGATAAACGAGCTTTTACAGTTCAGGTTGAACAAAGTAGAAAATTGAGATAATAATTCTCAATTATGAATGTCATTGTATTTTGGATCAATGGTTTTTGTTCAATTTTTTGACGGGTTTGGTTTTTGTATTTTGGAATTAGATGTGATGTTTTTTTTTTTTTGTTCAATTTTTTGACGGGTTTGGTTTTTTTTTTTTTTTTTTTTTTGATAAATAACGGGTTTGGTTTTTGTATTGCGGGAAAATTTGGAGCTCCAATATTATTTCACCATTTTGTTTCTAACTTTACCATTTTATCTTATATAACTTAAAACATTGTTTCGTCTGACCATTTGTTTCAGTTGTTTCATCTAACTTAAACTATTATCTCATCGTCAAATTGAAGCCCTAGCTGTATCTTCAGGCCGGCCGTCTCTCCTCTGCTCTATCTCAATCGATCAAGCCGTTTCTCAGCTGCAAGAGCCGTTCTCCTCTTCTCTTTCTCGATCTCTCACCAGCTGCTCGATCTCCATTTCTCAGCTGAAGCCCTTGATTGATCAGGCTGTTTCTCTGCTGCAAGGCTAAACTGTCTCTCTTCAAGCCGTCTCGCCTCTGCTCGATCTCCATAACTCTCAGGCAACTTTTTTGCTTGTGATGGTTAGAGAATTTTCTGCCCCTTCACTCTCTATATGTATATAGGAATAAAATAGAACATTACTTTAATTTATGCACATTATATATCAAAAGAACTCGAAATATTTCACATCAAATTATACAAAATTTAGTTAGAGATTCGAATGGAAGACCTGATACCATGATCTGGTCCACAAGTTATTTCTGTGGCTTGCACCTTCTTGGACCCACTCACAATAGATATACAATCATCACCTTTAAATACATTAATTAATTAGGAACTTTATCAATTAGAAACATATATGTGTATTAGAAGTATTTGGATGAGTTATGTTTTGAAGTGTACCTGTTCCAATAACACAGCTTTTAATCTGGATGTTTTGGGTGTTTGTGACATGAATTCCATCAGTGTTGGGGCTATTCTTGGGTGCTGTCACCATGAGATTAGAAGCTACAACATTCACACATTTCTCAAAAGAAATGTGAATTTGTTGTGCATCTTCAATCTTCAGCTTTTTCACTATCAAGTTCTTGCAGTTGTAGAAGGTTAAAGCCTGCCAAATCAAATTTTCTCAATTTATTCCGTAAATAATTGTGGAACTAACTAAAAATTAGAATAAAAAGCACTTTATTCTTTCTTTTTGTAGTGGGCCCAATAGGGCATAGAGCCCAACAAGGGAAATTGGCCCAAACTAGAATAGTAGAACCATAATAATTTTGATATATACATGCCCTTTTTGTTTTTGTTTTTGTTATTTTTTTTTAAAATTTTTTTTTTTTTTTTTTGTGCAGAAAAGCATAAAAGATCTTCAAGCAAGCCAATACTCTGACTCGCCTATTGGCAGTTCCGATGATTTGTACTCCGTTGTGAGGGGAGAAGAGAGAAGGGGTCGTGTGCGGATGTTTGGCTTGGGGCCTACACCAAGCAATGTTTGGGGGCCCTCTCCTAGTAAAGCTGAACTCATTAACAAAGCCAAAAAATCTGATGAGGAGGCACATGCTAACGTGTAGAGTTGCAGGATACAATTTCAAAAATGCAAGCTGACTATGACGATAAATTGGAAAATTTACGAGCTGATTATGACGACAAATTGGAAAATTTACAAAAATAAGTGGCTATGCTAATGCAGATGCAACAACGAAATTCTAGTGGATAGGTATATTTATTATTAGTTTTACTCTTTACTGAATATAAGTTTACTTATGCCAAGATTTCATGTATAATTTTGTTTTGTTATTTTGAAGGGTTCTGATTCTTCAAATGTTCCTAGAGAATCTCCAAATTCAATTTCTAGTCGTGCCAATTTAGTTAAGGTTATGACTTTAATTTCTTTTTTTTTTAAATTCCATTATATTTTATTCAAATACCCCTAATTTCTTATATGTTAAATTTTCATTTATTATAATGTGCGCTTAATGAATTTATAAAAAAATTAGGGCAATTCAAATCAAATGGGCAGGAGTTGTTGAAGTTGAAGTTGAAGCTAGAAAAAAGAAAGTTTGAAGATGGGGTCGTGGTTGTGCTTGTTGGATTTCCATGGCTTTCTGAATTTCCTTAGCATAGCCACTTGTTTTTGTAAATTTTCCAATTTGTCATCATAGTAGGCTCGTAAATTTTTTCAATTTCTCGTCATAGTCAGCTTGCATTTTTGAAATTGTATCCTGCAACTCTACACGTGCAGCACATGCCTCCTCATCAGATTTTTTGGCTTTCTTAATGAGTTTAGCTTTACTCGGAGAGGGCCCCCAAACATTGCTTTGTGTAGGCCCCAAGCCAAGCATCCGCACACGACCCCTTCTCTCTTCTCCCCTCACAACGGAGTACAAATCATTGGAACTGTCAATAGGCGAGTCAGAGTATTGGTTTACTTGAAGGGAAAAAAAAAAAAAAAAAATAGCAGCAGCAGCATGTTAGCTACATAGATCCTTAGCTAAAGAGAGCAAATGAAAAATTAAGTTACTTTTGTATAAAGATTTCAGTATCTTATTTTTTACTTTAGTATTTGGTTCTCAGTAGCTAAAGATTTTTTGGTTAATTTAATCAGCAACAACCTAAAAGATCTAGGAACCAACCACCATGCTTGTTACAGGTTCAGGGTCAACCGGTGCTTTTTTGTTATTGTTTTATTTTTTTTGAAAATTTACTTTTTTTTTTTTTTTTTGCTAACTCGTTGATGATGTGATTTCTGTTAAGGCCTCTGGGAGATTTCTGCATATTTTTTGTCAAGCAGAATCAGCACTAGCCAGTCTTGCAAAAAAAAATGTTCTATTTATCCATTTCAATTTCTGTCTTTTGTGAAATAGATGTTATACAACTTCGTCAACAGGTTTTCAAGGGCAAGTGTATCTGTATTTGCCAATAGGAAATAAAATGTAGCTTTCTCTCTTAAAAAAATTGTGCCAGTTTTAGACTAAAAAGTATGGTCTCTTTGCTGTATTGTCTTTGTTAATGTATTTTTTTTAAAGAAAATGAAGTCATAATACAAATAGTAGAAATTGAAAATATCCAAATCAACCAAACGGCATGAGTTAAGGAGTGGTCACAAAGGAAATGATATGATTGCAATCCATAAACGAATAAACTATCACTCAAAATATTTATGGAACATGTTGAAAGAATGAGTTTTGAATGTAGTTAATAATGATTATTTTTAATTGTGGATTGCTTAACGGTGCTTATATATATTTAACATTTTGCGCTTATTAAATATATTTTTGATATTTTCTATTAATTAATGTACATGTACGTATTGTTTTAATAAATGGTAATAGAAATAGTATTGAAAAAGACGTTATTGGTAGATCATTATTGATACTTTTCATTTGTAGATTATATGGAATAGGTTATTAATGTTGTAGTACATGGAAGAGACTGTGTCATTTAGTGATATATAAATGCTATGACTCGCATTTGTAATTTATTTACCATGCTATTTATGATGACCAACTTAAGGATTCAATATGATTTATGGTGTACACTAATGATTATTTTACTTAATCACTACAGAAGTTATCATATGGGCCGAGTGGGCAAATGTAAGATTATTTATTAATTACGTGGTCCACATGATTTGGACATGTGATATATTTCATTAATTAATGGTTAAGTAAATAGATATCAGATTAATATTTTATATTATTTGGTTAACGTATAAATTACTTTTATGATAATTAATTATTGGAGAAGTGTTTTTCTATTTATTCCTTACTTTGATTGAAAGTGAAATTAAGGTTACTAAAAGGAAAACTGATCATCTCTTTGCCTTTATAAAAGTGCATATTCCCATCAATTATGTACGCTAATAAAAATAATATGTATAATGTTTATGTGTGCAAAAGACTAAGAGAGAGAAATCAGTTTCCACACCCTTTGACTATTACAGTTAATCACATTGTTCGTTCTGCAAGAAGGATTTCGATGTTTGGTTTGATCTCAACAAGATTTGCAATTACAGATCGAGGTATTTATATCTAACTACTTTATTTATGCATTATAGCAATGTGAAGATAATGAAGTTTTAAGATATTAGGATTCATATTTATTTGTGTTTAATGGTTTCTATGAATAATTATAGTTTATACAGGTTTTTATTTTTTCTTGGCTCACATTTGAGCTCGGTTATGTTTGGGCCCTTGGATGCATTATCCTACTGTTCCCATTCAGTTCCAGGGCCTGTCGGCCAGCTGGCAAGGCTAGCCAGCTGACTGACAGTGCACTTCGAACCAAACTAGAGAGTTGGGCTTCTGAAACTATCATTTCGGAGTTTCAGCCGGCCGACGTAAAGTTGTCAGATGGCCGACACTATTCTTCCCATCTACATTTGTGACCTTCTTGGGATGTTAGTGATATGGTGTACCGTATGCCTTGGGATAGCATATATATCATGTATCGACTTTAGAATTGACCGTAATGCCCTTAAACGACATCAGGTTTGAGTAATGATTCGGTTAGCGTTTCAGACTTCTAGGTTTGGATCGTTACATTGCACTCGTAACAAAGGGCCACAACTATGGGTGACTCAAAAACAACTCACAGTGCCGCTGAGTGGAGAAGACGTGTGTAAAACAAGAGTTACGCGGGGTGCGGAAACAGTTGATTTTAATTATGATTAACTCCTTTAATGACCTAGATTTGATTATTAGGTTAACTTGCTTAATTTATGATTGATTAAATTGCATGATCAATTAAACATTCACAATCATAAATATAAATACTGAAAAGTAAAACAAGTTAAGTTTAGAGAGATTGCATTAGGATTTTTAGCGAGGAAACTCCAGTTGATAAAATACGTCAACTGTTATGGGAAAAACCTCGTGAACTATGCAGTCCAAAGTAAACCAATCCACTATGTTTGAAACAAAGTATACCGAACTTTGACTCTGACTCACACCATATCGTTCTACACCACACCAACCGCTGACGATCCTCTGGCTTTGCGACTCCTTGTCCAACAACAACTTGATCTCAGGCTTACACTTGATATTTGTAGAAGAGTAGTAGATAGATCAGATAGCACTCCACGAATGCTCTAACCCTTTCAAAGTGTGATAGCGCTTACTTCTGTTCTTCAAGATCTGAACTCGATTATAGAAGAATTAAATCCTGCTTCTCATCTGGAATATCTGAATCTTCAATATAGCTCCGATTCTGATGAGATAGAGAACAACACCACTAAATCACTCATGAATATATGTGTATGTTCTCATAAATAAATTCAGAATAATCAGCTTTGATTTTTTGAATTTTCTCTCTCTAGAAGGCTTTCTCAAATATAGAATTGATTTTCTCTAAAGCCATCATCAACCAATGTATATGACAAAGTTTATATAGAGTTTTGAAAGTCATAATCCTTCAGAAAATATGATAAATTTCGTACATAGAGCTTAGAAGGAAACTGGGATAAAAAAGGAAACATCAGAAGAAGGAAACTGAAAACCTGATGCATCTAGGACTTCTTGAACTAGTTCAACCATCTTGAACTAGTTCAGCCATCTTGAACCGGTTCAAGATGGACAGTAAGGAATCCCACGGATTCTCTGAACCGGTTCAGCTCTCTTAAACCGGTTCAAGATGGTCAGTCTTGAAATTTTAGCATTCTGATGATGTTGAACCTGTTCGATAGATCTTGAATCAATTCAAGATGGACAGAAAGTAAAAACTTGTTCCGAACCTTTCAAAACCCTTCCTAAATGTTCTCACTACCTCTCAAACTTTTTAGAGGGTTGTTCTCATCATCTCGGAGTGTAGTATATTTTGAACACTTAACCTTCTTCAAATCCGTATCTGATCTTTAATTTTCGATATTTTTACATCAAAAATTACAACTAGATCGGACTCGTTTTGACATCGAAATTAGCCAATTACAAAATATATCTCACACCGTGAACTCTAACAATAGTGGTATCATTGGCAATGACACGCCCACTATGGTGAGCATGGTAATGAAGTCTCAGAGACTCAGCATCAGTAACCCTCACGAGCAAGTTCGACGGCTTGACAAGTCATTCAGCTTGACTCCAAGATGTGAATAAGGATCTTTAGCCTATAATTGTTTCTTTGTAAGAAAATTTTTGTCCATACGGAAACAAAGAGAACATGCATCAATTATTTGACACAAAATCTTGTTTCCTAATTTTTGTTTCTGTTCTCTTTAGTGGTCATTGTTTTTGGTTTGATTCAATTCAGGCCTCCTTTCAATCGCCAGATCCATTCTATCTTCCATTTGGAATTTAGTTTAGTTCCGTAGGATCTAAGATTTTGTGGCCAAACAAAATCATATCTGATTTCTATATTCTTTTATTTATTTTTATCAGGATATGTTAACAATGTTATAGGCTTGCCATTAATAAGATGGCATTAATATAGAATAGAAACCTCGGTATGGAATGGATTTTGATTTGGTTGAGGATGCTTATAAATTTTATAATGAGTATGGACGTAGAATTAGATTTAGTATAAGAAAGTAGCATTGCAATAAAAACTTAATCGCAGATGTCTCGATAGTCCAGTGGGTTAGTGTCTCGGTAAACTTTAGAGTGTCAGACTTAGACTTTCTGCATCTGCAAATCTAACTTCTAACACTCCTTGCCTCGTAAAAAAAATAATAATAAAAAATAAAAACATAACCTCCTTGTAAAAAAAATAATAATAAAAAATAAAAACATAACCGGAGATGTATCAAGATTGGTTGGTTGTTCTAAACAAAGATTTTGAGCTAAAGACAGTTGGAATTGTATGAGAAATAACCCTAGGGTTGAGATGAGGACCGATTATGATACCTTAATGCTTGATCAAATAGTGTGTGTGAAAAATATTGGATAATCAAGTTTGTGAAAATGCACAA